AAGCTTTAAGGCAGAAGTTAAGTGGAGCCAAGAGGGAGAAGCCCCTCTTGTACCATTTATATGAGCCCCCACCCCCTGTCTTTCTGCTCACAGATGATGGTGGTGGTGGTGGTGGTGATGGTGATGATTAGGAAGATGGTTAGTCCCATATAGGTACTTTAACTAAGTTAACCTTGGTGGCTTAATTTATCGCGAAAAGACAACAAGGTCTGCCAGCCCTGCATCACTTAGCCGGAGAAAGACTTGACTAAGAAGGATCGCACCACCCAGATGTTATCAGGATTTACAAAGAAGCCTTGAAGTCCATGCTGCGATGCCCCCGTGGCACTGGATAGTGAAAGGACACCGCCATGGAAGTACCAGATTTTCTGAAGAGACCTTTTCTCTGTCGGAAGGTCTGGGGGAGCCTTTGACCAAGTGGGCTCAACCCGTCTGTATGGCACAGACCCCTATCTGAAGGATCTCGGGACTGGATCACTGAGGACAAGTTTCAGCCTTAATCAACACCACCTCCACTCTCAGGATCACGTGAACAAATATGCTCGTATTTTAAGGCAGCGCCTGTATTTCTTATTATACAAGGCTTCCTCCGGTGTCGGAATATATATATATATATATATATATACACATACATATAAAGTATATATATAAAAGTGTGTGTATATATATATATATATATATATATATATATATATATATATATATATATATATATATATATATATATTCATTCATATTCATATAATAACTCATCGCTTATTATTTACAAACAAAAGAAACCGACAAACTGGCATAGTTGTTTTTTTTTTTTTTTTCATTTTATTTTGTGGGCTTGTTCCTGAATGATTTTTTTTAAAAGTATATAATTGCTACGGTATTATGAAAGCCAGCAAAACCAGGGTCCATTCGCTCTCTTTTATTGGAGCTCCAGCAGTGGTTTTTATTCTACCGGGAATACTGGTCTATGGAAATGCCTGGGCAAATCCGCAAGATCAGGTTTAGGAGCCTTATTGTCTCCAGAACAAAGGAGGAAGGATATATTCTCAAAACGGCCAACCTCCAGATTTTGACCTAGAAGGACAGCTTTACAATAAGCAAGGATCCAGGTAAGCAATTGCATGAGTTTTCATGAGCATTAATTCCCGACACTTCGGACTTGAATGCTGCAAGGAACTGCAGAATGTCCAACGTCTGTCCTCTATCGGGATACCTTATTTAAGCTGGGACTGGAGTCTTTGTTGGAAACTCCACGCTTTTCTAAATAACCATTTTCCTCCGAAATAACTTGGGGCTTGGGTAATTTGAGGGCGGGGAGGGGGGAGAACCAGGATTTGTCTTAATTGAAAAAAGGAAAGAGGGAAAAGACAGACGTCTCCTTGGTTTCAGGTAATGGGGTTCACCGGATAACCAAGATCAGGTTATGTAAGTTATTTGGAAACCCCAGATGAAACGGATGCAGCTGCCCGTGGAACTGACTCTTTCTAAAAAGCAGTGACTTCCCATTACTTTTCTTCGGTTTGTTTTGGTTTATTCTGCCAGGTTTCTTTCCGTTTCTCCCCCACCCACCCACCCTCAATAAATCACATGCTGATAAAGCAGGTTCTCTTTATTCCACCCTATTTTTTTTTTAAATGGAGATGTATAAAGTTCATGAATCTTCGTGTCTTTGACCGTTTAAGAGTCACAATCTACCGGTAGGAAGGTGAGAGGTACCTGCTGCTCCCATCGATTCTAATGAGCTGGACAGCCGGCTCTTTTACCTGTCTACTCGCAGGCAAGTCCCGCTCATCTCAACGGGACTCGCTAACAAGGTTTCCTCGGGATGGCAAATAGGGGTCCCTCCTTTTTTTTTGCTGGAAAGTGGCTAATAAGTAAATCGTTTGCAAGCAGCGTGTATAAAATGCTGCTATTCGCCGTTTTCGCTTCTACCGAGCTCCGTGCTCCGTGACGAACTCTCTTTACTGCAAGGGACATTCAACCTTGCCCGATTTCCTTGGACTGGACATAGGTGCTTTCAACAGAACCGACTTCTCTCCCTACTAGAGCAACGCTGTTGAAGCCAGACTGTGTTTTCCTTTGATGTGGAACTGATTTTAAAGTTATGGCCAAGTCGCAAGAAGTTTGGTCCCCGGACCTATTTACCCGGAGGTCAAGCCAGACTAAATTCAATAGGCAAGATTTTTTTTTTTTTTTTTTTTTTTTAGCCAGGAATCTAAAGTTTGCCCGAACTTCATGATACTGATAACCTCCTTCCTTTTATACACACGCTAGCGAAATCACTAACACTGCTGCCAAGCAATAGGAAAGCATTAAATAAAAACGGTGGGGCTTCGGCTTCCTGTTTGGGACCGGTCTCGTCCAGAAACTCCAGCAGCCTCGGATCTCTTCCCCCTCCCCCGCCCTCTTCGTTTCCCGTTAGCTCCCAGGCCTGCAAGCCGGGGGCCTGACAAGTTAGCCCTCTGAATCCAATTAAGGCAAGCGGCATTTCATTTTGTTACTCGACGGGGAACCCTCTGGCAGGGAACTTCACCTAAAATTTCAACCATCTCCTTCCTTCCTTTCTTCCTTCCTTCCTTCCTTCCTTCCTTCCTTCCTTCCTTCCTTCCTTCCTTCCTTCCTTCCTCTCCCTTCCTTCCTTCCTTCCTTCCCTTCCTTCCTCTCCTTCCTTCCTTCCTTCCTTTCTCTCCTTCCTTCCTTCCTTCCTCCCTTCCCTTCCTTCCTTCCTTCCTTCTTTCCTTCCTCTCCTTCCTTCCTTCCTTCCTTCCTTCCTTCCTTCCTTCCTCTCTCCTTCCTTCCTTCCTTCCTCCCTTCCCTTCCTTCCTTCCTTCCTTCCTTCCTTCCTTCCTCTCTTCCTTCCTTCCTCTCCTTCCTTCCTTGCTTCCTCTCGTCTCCCTTCCTTCCTCTCCTTCCTTCCTTCCTTCCTTGCTTCCTCTCGTCTCCCTTCCTTCCTCTCCTTCCTTCCTTCCTTCCTTCCTTCTTTCCTTCCTTCCTTCCTTCTTTCCTTCCTCTCGTCTCCCTTCCTTCCTTCCTTCCTCTCCTTCCTTCCTTCCGGCCTGCAACCACATCCGAGGCCGGCCCTGCTGCGACCTCAGCGCAGATCCTGAACCGGGAAGAAAGAGCGCAGGTTGAGGGCTTCCGAGTGGGATGCGCGGCAGCAACAGGAGGTGCAGCAGGAAGGCGGCCAGGATTGGAGGACCCAGGGCAGCCGGACGGAGCTGCCTTTCCTGTTGGAAGGCGGGCCCCTCCCCAGCCAGCTCGAAACGGCCGGAGGAAAAAGGCTGCAGACGATTCCGCTTCTTCCTCACTCTCTGGGGAGAAGCCACATTTCCAAGCAGCTTCTTTTTCCCCTGCCGGATCGCTGTTTGCTTCTGCAGAAGGATTCAGAAGTCGATCATTAATTAGGCACAAAATGAAAAACTTGACCACCTTAAGCAACCGCCAGCTTTGGCAAATAATGACCCTTCCGACAGACGCTTCTATAAGGGTTCCCTTCCTTTACCGCCGCCGCTTGCTTTCCTGTCCCCCCCCCCGCCCCAAATTAAGCCTTACTCGGCCACTGTACGCAACACCTATTCCTAATGAATTCCCGGGTTTGGGGGGGGAGAAGCGGGGGGAGGGGGCGAAAGGAGAAAAATAAATAAAAGCCCTTAAATTGACGTCCTCCTCCCACGTGTATATATATATATATGTGTGTGTGTGTGTGTGTGTGTGTGTGTGCTGTAAAATACCGGCTGGGCCAGGCCAGGCCTTGGAGGACCTGGGATCCAGGTTTCAGCATCGGGGACGGCCGCTCAGCTCCGCTTTCCCGAAATCCCATAAAATTGAAAGTGGTTGAAGAGGGGAGAAGGAAGGCGGCTGCCTCACAGCTGGCTTTGGCTCAGGCTAGGAGGAGAAATTGGGAGCTGGCTTCGGGGGCCGGTCTTGGAGGGGGTTCCGAAGCTGGTTTTTCACTGAGCGGTGAGTTATTGCTATCCCAGCCAAAGGTCATTTCAAAGGCTTAGGCTGGTGAGACCCTCTCTTTCTAATGACTGAGGCTTCATTGTGGGGGGAAGGCCCCCTCCCGCCCCTCGGCAGTTCTATTAATGTCCTCCAAGTTGGGGGAGCAGAGTTAGGGGTACAGGCGGCTATAGGCACAGCGTGGGAATGGTTTTCGGTGCGCCGGGGGGGGGGTTAAGGTTGATATTGTTTTCAGTTAAAACAAAGCAAATGCTTGCCTAAGCTCTGACTAGCACGCCCTTCATGTGAAATCTGAACGAGGCTGTGCTAAAAGACTGGGTCGGAAGTCAGTCCTGTGGTTGGACTTTTCTTGGGGGGGGGGGGCATAAACTCTAGCCAGCCTTGAGACACTTAACATAGGAGCCACTGAATTAAGCCTGTGGGTGTTGTGATGGATTAGGTCTTTTGGGTGCAATACTGTGCATTGAGTCTCATTTCTCCTTAAAATAGTAGAAACATGGGCCTATCGCTGGGCACAAGATTATGTACAATCAAGCCCCCCTTCTTTCTGAGTGCAAAAAAAGTTACTATTCAACCCAAGTCTAACTTTAGTATTTCTTAAATATCCCTGCACAAAGACAAAAAAAAGAAAAGAAAGGCTCTTCCTCGTTGCAAATGTTCAGCTTAAAAATATTGTGCCTGTGTGTGTGTGTGTGTGTGTGTGTGTGTGTGAAAGAGAGAGAGAGATCAAAACCACAATTTATGCCCAAGGAATACTTTCACCATTATTTGTGTCCTTAAATGGTTAAATATTAGGCGATGATGTTCCTTCATGTGATCAGGTATATATACTCCTGATTGAGAGTAAATCAAAGGAGGCTGCTATTCCAGGCCTGTGAATCTAAGAATAAGACCCATTGTGTTAGAGCTCTGTGAGAGAAATAGCTCTGCCTTACAGATACATTATTTATGAAGTCAGTGGTTCAGAACTGCGGGTGGTGTGTGTGTGGAGGGGGGGGAGGTGAGATAAAAATGCACCCACTGAATGTGCCCCTTTGTTCCAGGTGCATCTCATTGTTTTATCCGAGGGAACCACAAGACCATCCCCACAGCTTTGCAGATAAAATTCAAGAAAAAACGTAAAAGGGGTGAGTTTGTCTGCATTTTTTTTTTACAAAAAAAACCAAACAAAAAACTCCAACGGCTCTGTGTACGTTGCCTCTCTCCTCCACGTGGGTTATTACCGATAAATGTTGTTTCCAATGGAAGAGGTCGGAAAAGAGAAAAAAAAAAGATCAAAAAAGAAAAATATTCTCTCTGCTGTTGCTCCCTTAGGAGCTTTAATACACACAATGTAATGTAAAGTACCTGACTATTCATAAAAAGGTTGATATACAACTGCCTTAAAAACGCACTTGGAGCACACAGATAAAAGGTTATTACTACCATAAACATTATCCTCCACCGTCGGTAGCATTTATATCCATCCCGGGCTTTAGTAGATCATTATTTATTCTTTTCTTTTTAAGGAATGGGGAAAAAGTCTTTAATGGGCCCCTATCACAACGATCCTTGTCGATCCCACAAAATGCACTCTCTTCCTCCATTCTAAACCTCCGTCCTGATCAGACCCAGAACTGGGTGGCCTCGGCACTAGTCCAGCTATTTCAAGCCCCCCCCCCTCCGTCTCCCTGTTGGTGGGACTGGGGAGAGAGCTCCCGAGGTCCCAGACCAGACCAAGAGAGTTTACAAATGCTGAAATCGCCTCAGATCTGGGGAAAAAAAAAAAAAAAGTCCTAGCAATCTGACTGCCTTGCAAAACGCGAGTTAGCGGTGAGAGGCAAGAGGGCAAGAGGAGGATCAAAAGGCGAAGCGGCTTTTGGACGGCTAGCAGGGCTTTCTCCAACGGCGGAGCATTAGGAAACCCCAGCGATACAGAGTAGCGGCGATCGGCTCGGGCCGCCACGGTCCATTTTCATCCATCCCTCGGTTCCTCGCCCGGAAGAAACGTGGGTTTCCCCCCCCCGCCCCTCCCATCTTCCCGGCTGGGCGCTGCAGGCCTGTCTTCCATCGAAGACCCGGAAAGTCATCTCTGGCTGGAGGGGGAAAAAAAGGGGGCATTTTTTTCGAGTTAAAACACGCGGCGGGGCTCCCTGTGGGCGAAAAAGCCTCTTCACCTCCGAAGCAAAAGTACTGCCAAAGGGGAAAAAAAAAAAAAAAAAAAAAAGGCCGGCGCGGTGGCCCTTTTATATAGAGATTCTCCGCCTCGCAGGCACTTTTGGCGGCGTCGGGCGGAGGGGGGGGGAGGAAGCTTTCTTTCTATGGCCGGCCTTTCCCCCCCCCCTACGCAGCTGTTGTGGCTGCTTCTCCTGCTTCTCCTTTCTCCGCTTTCCATTTCTTACTGAAGCGTTTACTGCCCAGCGCCAACAGTCATAAATTTTGCTACACGCCGCCGTGACAGGTGCATTGATATGCGCTGCGAGAACTCGGCTGCTTAATAACCACTCCTCCGGCCTCTCTTAGTGCCTTTTATTTATTCGGCATCATATTAGATATTGATCCCCGGCAGAATTAAGTGGAGTGGGACGCATTGGTCGAGAACTGGGCTTGGTAGGAAGACCTGGGCTAGGCACCGGATCGAATGCAGTTCGTGAGCGCCGGGAAGTTATCAACAGCCCGGCATAGCTCGGGGTTCCCCCTTGGCACGTGGTACCTTTGGGGGTCCTCTGGGGGGAGGAGGAAGAGGAGGAGGAGAAGGAAGCGGGGGGGGGAGGAGAGGCTCTGCTTCTTTTGGTGCCCTTTGGTTTCTAGGGTGAGATGGAGAAGGGTGAGGAGAGGAAGGGATTGCCTAAGGGCACTGCGGTTCAGACAAGGTTAACCTCTGGAGAGGCCTGGCCACGAAGCAGGGTCCTGCATAGACAGGGATCTCTCCACAGCCTCCCACCCCGAAAAGCTGTATCCTCAAATTTGCCCAAAAATTAAATTAAAAAGGGCAGCCTTGCAAAGCCAAACCGTGTGAGGAGGAAGAAGGGAAAGAAAAGAAAGGAAGGAGGGGGGGGGAGTTGTGTGCCTTCACAACTCTGAGTATGTGTCTGTGTGAGATCTAAAAGATGAGCCCCCAAAACAGTAAAGCATTGTCCATGTGATTTATGGCCCTCTGCCTCCTTTTTAGGTTCAAGCAGAGTTCACAAGCAGTTGGTATGTAGAGAAAGAAAGAAAGAAAGAAAGAAAGAAAGAAAGAAAGAAAGAAAGGCTACTCAGTTTGCTGTAATATTCTCTCTGAAGATCTTGTGCATTGCTTGAGAAAACCTGGTTTTAGTGAATAAACCAGAAGGCACCAAGTCATGTGTTGATTCAGAATAAACAAAACCCCCTATGAACTAGTGAGGTTGTAATGGGCTAAGGGATGGACTTTACAATTATGAATAATTATTTGTGAATAAATGCAGCCTTAAAGGCTAATAATACACACATCAGTGGAAGGAAATCCTGGACATCCTCTAGGTAAATTTCTATTTTATTTCAATTTGCTTTTTAATTTGGGCCCCACTTTATATTTTTCTCTTCCTTTTTTTTAGATTCTTGGGAATGTGCATCTAAAAAGCATATTCTTCCAATAAAGATAAAATATGTCATAAAATGAACACTACTTCACCATCTTTTATGTCATTGTAGGTTTATGAAACTTGAAGCCACATGTTTTTCTTTGTTTTGGTTTAAAATACAAATAATATTCTGGAAGCTTATTTATATCTCATTTTCCCTCTCAAAATTCTCATAGTATTTCAGTTATTTAAGGATGCATGTATACATCTTCAGTGTTTTAAAGTAAATAGCAACAGTATAATGCTTCTGTATTTTCTCTCTATAGTTTATTTAGATTTATTTTAAATACTTTTTAAAAAATTAAAATACATTAAAGGAACTTGTGGAACATATCACAATTTAAATAAAGATGTTCCTGACCTCTCTATAAAAGGTACTGTGAACATTGGCCAGGCAGCTAAAGTGTTTTGTATGACAAAGGTGGGAAAATATAGCAAATTTAGAATATTTTAATTATAAATATTTTGTATTATGTCAATCACAGCCATGATGTCCCAAAGTGATACCTGAACAGTTTTTTGAAATGGGAAAGATATCAATATCTTCACCAGGAACTAGTGCAGAAATGCAAAAGTTTCAGAAGAATTAATAACTCCTTTTTTGTGGTCTCTATGTACCACATTTGCAAACCAATTTAAATGCCTGGAATCTGTGATTCTAACTTTGTTATCTGAAAATAAAAATGTAAATGATCACAAAAAAACTAATCATTTTCCCTGCTTCAATTTGAACAGCAACAATTCTTGAGTTTATTTGGGGACTCAACAAAACAATGGAAAATGCACTTTAGATTCAGTGGCTTATGTGTTCAGCACTTAATGAGATTATATGTAAACTATATTAGGGCCATGTCTGGAGAAACAGAACTTTAGAGCATTAGGAATGGAGACTTTATAGTTACGATCCCTGTGGTGCAACCTCCCCTACACTTTAGCCATGGATTTATTCCATTGAGCCCAGTAGGCCTTCTGAATAAACAAGGCATAACACCAACTGCATGATGCTTATTTATAAGTACAGTTATACAGTAAATCTAGTTTCTAAAGTATTTACCTGTTTTTCTAGATTGTTGATGCTACTTTTCTTCTTATGAAATAGGACACTTAGCAAATGTATTTGAGAAGATTTGGACTTAAACAGTTTGCTTAAAACTAAATTCATGGGTTTGACTTCTATGCAGATGCATTGTATATTTGAAACCAAGCATCAATTAACACGCATTTACTTATTTATTAACGTACTTAGCCTGATTTCTAATTTTCTCCAAAGACATCTATTAGATAACTTCTGTTCAGATAGACTTGTGGTCCCAGGGTCACAGAGTGGATGAACAGAAATGAAAAGTCTGCCCTTGCCAAGCTAAATCCATCATTCTCTCTCTCTCATTCTCTCTCTCTCTCCCTCCCCCCTCCCTCCCTCTCCCTCTCTCCTGTCCCTCCATCTCTCAAGATATTTCATGTCATTGGCCCATATAGAGCTAAAGAGATATAGAGACACCCCTTAACAGTGAGAAAGGAAATCCTAATGTTTCTTCCAAACATCAAAGGCCGTGTTTATACACAGAAGGCCGCACAGAAATAACAATGCACAGACCATTATGAATATTTGAGAAAAAGAAACCTCTCTTCTGTATATGATCAATTCTTTTTTTTGTGAAACAGAAATGGGGTTTTCTGCGTGGCAATAAACCCACAGAACAGCTTCTCGATGCAGAGCATACTCTGAAAATAATCTCTTATAGTTTATGTAGTTTTTAAGTCAAATTGCTCTACCACAAACATCTGCTGAAATATGTCTGAAACAGAAAAAAAGGTAGCTGACATAGGTATTTTTTCTTTAGATTGCAAATGAAAGGTACTGAATGCCCTTAGTTACACTTTAACTTCTTAGAACTCTTCCCAGGAAAAACAAAACAAAACGCTAAGAGTCAGGATTTACAATACAGATTGACTTTTCTCTGGTTTTTCAGGTTCCAGTTCTGGTTCAATCCATCATGTCACCCTTGGCTATTAATGCACGCATGCGCAACCTGAGGGGGGAAAACAAAACAAGAGAAGGGGGAGAAAGAGAAAACGCAACAACAAAAAAATGTTGGTTAATATTTATACCAAAATAGAATAGCAGTCAAGCACTGAGGATACAGATATACTTGAATACAACAAGGTAGAGAAGACTTTATATTTCCTAAAAAGAATTAAAAATGATACACACAGAAGCAGTAAGACTGCATTGTGAAACTACAGGATGAAATGAAGACAAAGTTTAAATCAACATTTCATTTTTAAAAGCAGATTGTTATATAACAAGGCAGACTAAGTGGCAACAACTCTTCATTCTTTGCTAAAAGTCTATCATCTTTTAAAGTAAGCAAGTAATTAAACACAGTTTATAATAGACATTGGTTATCTTTTGGGGAGCCTGGGTGATGGAGTCTTTTGGACTTCCCCAGGAGATTGATTTGTGCTATAAACTATCATCACTTTTGAGGACCAATGATATTAATCACTATATTTAAAGCAGCTTGTTTCCCTCTGTTGTTGCCCTTATTTTCCTTTGTTGTTTCAACTGATAAGATATGATGCCATCTGGGTGGTGAGGGAAAAAGATCAAGATTTAATATACTATACTAAGATTGACTATCAAATATTATAATAAAATGCAGGCTGCTTATTTAAGAGGGGTGGCCAGCAAACTTCACCCTAGATTTACATGTTTATGTATAAGAATTATTTCAAAATTACCTCTCCCCTATTGCCCAATGTGACCAATTCTGAGACTCACTCTGATATTAAAATAACTTGTCCAGCCCCTTTTTGGCACTAAATAAGCCAATATTAAATTCAAGTGTATACCTTTCCAGGAAAGCAGTGAGGAATACTGTATTTCATCTTATGTTAGCTTTTAAGGACTGGCATCATACCTTATCAGTCTGTAAGATTGTAATTCTTCTTTTATCCTACCAAACAGAGTGGGCATGTTAGGTATTCTAGATTAAGACCTTTGGAAAGTATCAGTTTAGGCAAAAGAAGGTATCACCCAAACATTGTATGGAAACATTTGTGCCTTTTTGCTTGCCTGAGGTTGATGAAGTTTATATTTCTACTTTCCTGGATTTTGTAAAGGCACACTTCTATTTGAATGGGAGTGCAAGAGTGTAAGTCTCAGGCTTTGACTGAATCAGGACTACTCTCTGCATATCCCGATTCTCAGTATTCATATTGGAAGAGAAAGCAATTAATTTTAATGGCATTTGTGACATGTAACTTTGTTTAAGATGGGGATGTAATCTGTGAATAGCTGACTGCCAGGTATCTGCTTAGATGGGAGGGAAAAAAGGAGAAAGTAAGTTGGCAAGTGAGGCCAATGATGAAATGTGTGAAATGCTTGGATGGCTGGCTATATGTGTACTCAAGGGTGAACATGCAAGTATAGAGCACAGCAGCAGAAATCACCCATAAATGACAGGGACTTCCTTGCTGTGGAGGGACAGATAAGTCAAATGTTAGATTAGAGTCTAGACTACTTTAGGTCTGTGATGATTAAAGGAAGAAGTGACCTAATGGGATTCTGCTGTTTGAACCCATGCTTCTCATTGGCAGGTTGTGCTCTACAAGCCAACACCATGGGGTTTGTAGTTCTTTCTGTATTGTGATGAGGTACAGAATTTGTAGACAATCAAGTGTTCTTGGCAGCACAGACGTGGGTTTAAAAGACCCCAAGATAGCTTTCTTCTGGAATTAAGTTTCTTGTCCATAGACAGTTGTGCTACTTGTTAAGGCAGGAAACACCTTGGGGACTATTCCAATGGCCAAAATGACAGGAATCGTATTTATCCTACACTTCCATGTATCAGAGTGAGAATAACATTTCCAGGTGATAATCTCCTCTGCTTCTCCTTTGCTTGGTTTTAAAACCACGGCAAATGTGCTTCAGTGCTGGGTTGTGTCAACATCATGCTGGCCTGTCACTGGGTGCCTGGATTAAGGTAACCAAGGTGGGGTGAGAGAGTGACAAGAGTCTTGTGCATTAACTCAAAAACAGAGCAACGTCATGTCTGAGGAAAAGGGAACACGGCCCAGTCACGCCTTCAGACATGTGCGCTCTCCCGCCTCAAATGGCTTCTCGTCTCCCCTGTCCTCCAGGTGTTTCGCAGGCAGCGACTGGCCGGAGCCCAAGACGTGAGGAAGCAAAGGCCGAGCGACGGGAGGGCCGTGGTGGTCAATGTTGTTTGAGCAGGCGCCCGAGGCCTTGGCGACCGCAGAGCCCAAGATGCAGAAAACCGCCTACTACGACAACTCGACGCTCTTCGGGGGTTACGGCGGCAGCGGCGGCTACGGCAAAGCGGACGCCTATGGCTACACCACAGGCCCGCCCCAGCCTTACGCCCAGCCCGCTCTGGAGACTGACTATCCCGGGTCGGCTTGCTCCCTCCAAAGCGCCGCCCCCATCCGAGCGCCCCCTGCCCACAAGAGCTCGGAGCTCGGCGGAAGCTGCATGCGCCCCGGCGGAGGAAGCCAGGCGGCCCCTCAGCCGCCGCCGCCGGGCCTGGGCGACCAGCAGCCGCCTCTGCCTCCTACACTGCCCTCTCCCTCCCCGCCTAACAACGCCGCCCACGCGGGCTCTGCCAAGAAGGGCAAAAGCGGGCCTAATTCTTCCAACGGCTCCCCGGCCACGATTAGTAAGCAGATCTTCCCTTGGATGAAGGAATCGCGGCAGAACTCCAAGCAGAAAAACAGTTGCCCGCCAGCAGGTATCCGGCTCGCTTACCTGGGTACCTATAATGGGTGGGGGTTCTTCCTCCCCGGCTCCATCTGAGAGGACGACGATGTCGCATGGAAGTCATTTAAACATAAGAGACCCTGCCAGGGCAGCAGACCCAAAGTCTGCCCGCATCCGCTGGCTATTAAACTGATACTCAGGGAAAGTAATTGGCCTGCTTTAGCAATCTGCCTCTGAAACGGAGACACCATTTTGGGGTGGCTCCTGACAGCCATTTCTGAAAGAAAGAATGCCATAAAAGCAAATAAATAACTGCATAAGCATAATGAATTCTTTTATTGCCCTTTTAGAGCCATTTGTTGAGCCATCAGTCAAGGCCACTTCTTATAACTGCCAGAGAAAGACATAATTTCTCCTTCCACATTTGGTACCTTTTGGTGGGACTGGTTGGGCATGATAGGAATTGCAATCCTACACATTTTAAGAACACTAGTTTGGATTGGAAAACAGCCTTAAATTAACTGGATTAGGATTCAAGATTCTGCCCCCAGGTGAATCTTGAAGGAACTTGGTGAAAAGACTTGTGTCACATCCCAATTTTTGAAACTTAGCTGTCTGTCCTAGGCCTACAGCTGAGTGGAGATGTCTAAGCATAGCTTGTAACATCAACCCATTCCTGTTTAAAATGTATTCCTCTTCTAGACTTGATAATGCAGAATTCCTCATAAGTTCTCTACTGAAACAAAACTTTAAAATCAATGCCACTTTTCGTGTAAGAACATGTACCTGAAAATGTCCTATATAAACCTATGGGATTTAGTTCTTACATGGCTGAGTTTGTAAATTGAACAGAAATGAGACATTTGAGGAGCTCACTCTCCATGTTACAGTATTTCAAAGTTGAGTAACTCACTGTATTTTTCAAAATAGGTTGCCAGATGTTCTTTATTTTTAAAACACACCTTTTCTTTTTCAAAGAGCCTTTATGCTAGCACATCACAACTCTGAGCTAAATATTAATCATGCTGCTTAAAGCTTATTTTTTAAAAATAACAAGTAAGCTTTACAGCCAGGACTAGCTAGTAAGGTCCTTGCTTGAAGCCAAGGACCAAATTATACTTGCCCAAGCTCTGTCCAAGTCATAGTATGTTCTACTCAAAATTAGACAACCAATTATGGTATAAGAAAAAGAAATCCCTCAAGTTCTTCTCTACACCACCTCATTACAAAATAAATGATAAACCACTGCCCTTTGTGATATGCATAGATCTGTAGCCTGGAGCAGTTGCCTTGCTCAGCCTAATGGTAGGGCTGGCCTTGTTCCTATGGTGTCTGTCTCTAGCAGATCATCCCTCTCAGTTTCTTTTGCTCTTTTTTAGCGAATCTACAAAATCATCTGAGCATCTACTAAATGCTAGTTATTCCAAAGTGGTTAATGAAATGAGAGATGAGACTGTGGCTCCAACTGGGTGTGGCCTTCTCAGAAGCCACCCTGCTGACCTTCTAATCCAGCAGGAGGAAGTGCTGGGACTTTACTTGATGGCCCCCACATTCCTCTCCTTTTCAAAATTGCCTGATGTGCAGAAAGAGGGAGGAGCAGTGGAGACCAGATCCTGATAGGTGGCTCTTTCTGATTTTGAAATTGCTGTTCAGTTGGGTGAGGGAGAAAGGTGGGGGGAACCTAGATATTTCTCAGTTTTTCCCCATGGGAATCCCCAGCTCAGCAGCCTTCCCAATAGTTAGAGTACTATCTCAGAGATAATCAGCACACTTGGGACTCTCTCATTAGCAGTTAGCAGCCGCTGCTGCATTGTCTTCAGATTTTGGAGCCTGGGTCTTGTACGGTTTGGATCCCTTCGACAGGACCTTCCTGTGTTTTGTCAGGGGATCAATTGATTTCTCCAATTAAATTAGATGATTTACAGCTCTCTTGCCAGAAACTGGAACTTTCTTATCCCTTTGAGGCCCCTCCCACCCCACCCCCCAGCATCCAGCTTCAATCACTTGCTATCCAAATAGGTAAAGAGATGAACCTAGTTTCTTGCTATCCACTTGGTGGAATGGGTGGATGAGATGGGGTGGGAGACTAAGAATTTCAGTGGTAGGTCTGGTGAGAAGGGAAACACCAAAGTGATGTAAGGCTTTGTTGGAAGTGTCCATTGGCAGGCATTTTGCTTTTCCTGATTATGAGGCAGGGGCCTTCACATATTGATTGCAATTGTGCAAAGCGCTGAGACCTGGGTTCTTTTGAATTTATTGTGAAATCCAGCTTCAAAAGGAAGGGAAGGGAGGAGGGTAGGAATTAAGGGAAGAGAACACAGCCTTCCTGAAACTGCAGTGATGGTGGTGCTGTTAGTGCTCTGCATTGATCATCTACCCCAGAGACTGCTCTGAAAGTCACTGAATAGTGTCTGTTCAGAGTGCAATGTGAATGGCTGGATTTGAACTGGGCACTCAGAGTTGTTCAGGCATATTTTTCATATTGGCATTCAGCCCACTGCAGCTTTGGAATACCAAAGGGTCTTCCATTTCCCATTCTACAACAACCTCTGCCCACATCTGCCAGGGTACTCTGCAGGGTGGATGCCACCCACAGCCCATTGACCTATGTCTTTTCTTTCTTTTTGACAGGAGAGAATTGTGAAGACAAGAGCCCGCCTGGCCCAGCTTCCAAGAGAGTCCGCACAGCCTATACCAGTGCTCAGCTGGTGGAGCTGGAGAAAGAATTCCACTTCAACCGATATCTCTGCCGTCCGCGCCGGGTGGAGATGGCAAACCTCCTCAACCTGACTGAGCGTCAGATCAAGATCTGGTTTCAGAACCGTAGGATGAAGTACAAAAAGGACCAGAAAGCCAAAGGGATTATGCACTCCCCGGTTGGCCAGTCTCCAGACCGAAGTCCACCCCTAAGCGGTCCCAGTCATATTGGCTATACCAGCCAGCTGCCCAGTGTTGGGACCCTGAGCTACGATACTGCCCCATCACCAACCTCCTTTGCCAAGTCGCAACAAAATCTGTACGGCCTGGCTGCCTACACAGCTCCGCTCAGCAGCTGTTTGCCCCAGCAGAAAAGATACCCTGGAGCTGAGTACGACCACCACACCATGCAAAGCAATGGGGGTGGTTTTGCTAATCCTAGTTTGCAGGGTAGCCCCGTCTACGTTGGAGGGAACTTTGTGGATTCCATGCCAGCCTCTGGTCCGATGTTCAACATCAGCCATCTCTCTCACCCTTCTTCTGCTAGTGTGGACTATAGCTGCGCTGCTCAGATCCCCGGCAACCATCATCATGGACCTTGTGACCCCCACCCCACCTATACAGATCTCACTTCTCATCACACATCTCAGGGAAGGATTCAGGAAGCCCCCAAACTAACACATCTGTAGTAGAATGGAACGTATGGAGAGAAAGAGAGGGAGAAGGGGGGGGGAAGAGAAAGAAAAGAAAAAAGAAAAGGAGAGAAAGAAAGAAAGATCCTCATGTTTCAATTACCTCACTTTTTCCTGATAATTATTTTTCAGAATCTTGAGTGTTAGTGGATTGTGTGTGTGCGTGTGTGTCCAGTAGCAGCTAAATTATCTTGTTTATTTCATTGACAACTCCTAAACTCTATGGTTTTGTTTTCCTTTCTTTTTGAATTAAAAAAAAGTTTTAAAGCATGACAGTGCAATATCCTTTAAAAATAATTCCCACAAGGGAATATTAATTGGTAAAGATGTACTGGAAAGTAAGTTGTAGAAATTTGTTAGTATTAGCAAAACATGAGTACTGATGAGGAGTTTAAGACATTTGGGACCAAAATGAGGACCTTATTCCAGAGAAGTTAATTTATGGAATCCTTCAGCAATGTGGACAATTGCTTTGGACTTAAATAAGATGTATTTATTATTTTAATAACTTTTTAAAAATTACTCATTATTTAATCTTGGCCTTCAATGTATTTATGTGGATATTTGTAGAATTTCTTCATTCCCTTCTCCCTAATTTTGAAAGTTTAATTCAGGTCTTTGATAACTATACATTTTCACCTATTTAGTATATTTGATCTGAAATAGAAAGAGTAGTTTTGAACAGTTGTAACAGTGACTGGTGTTTGTAGTTTATGTAAGGATTAAGCAAATTGTAAGTCAAGTCATAGATTAATACAAAACTGAAGCATTATCACAAACAGCTGTTACATTTTAAAACATATAAATATACAACATTTTAATTTATTTCATGATTGTTTGGTATCTTTTTACTTTTAAAATGTTTAAAAATATTTAGGGTGGGAGTGCATCTTATTTAAAATAATCCTCTCCTCTGGCAATTTGGGTTTTGGCCATTTCTGACATCCATAAACTGTCCAGAAACTATTAACTTATAATGCAGTTCCATACTTATTTTCTCAGAAGTAAGCCCCATTGAGTTTAATGGAATTACTTCAGTTACGAGTGTCTCAAATGGCATCTTTACTGTCTATTACACAGACCATTTTGTCTTGTTTTAACGTAAAATAGCCAAAACCTTCAGATAGATTAGAAACAATATAATACTATTGATGTCATTTAGTAATTCATTTAGTAATTCCGCAGTAATTCAAGTTAAGAATTATCCCTTTCAGTTGTTGTTGTTATTATTGTTATATTATTTATATGCTATTTATGCTAATCATAGATCAATTTTGTACACCTTATCAGAAACCAGAACTTACTTTTGCTGATTAAAGAGGAAAAGGAGAAGACAAATTTTGAATGAAATATTGACAATCAAGTATATACAAAGGAAAGACTGTACAAGGGTGTAGGGAAATCCAAATGGCTTTTGGGATAGGACATTACTAGATCTATCAATATTTAATACAGTTGTTTGTAGCAGGCATTGATGCAATTCTCATGTAAACAAATGTTTCTGCTTGAAGCCTAAAATGGACAAGGAACACATCCTTCCCGGGCCCCCACTTTATTTATATGTTGTATTTAATCTCTCCCTGGATTTATTATAAAGTGTTCCTCAGCATAAAAGTGACATTAGGTAGATGTTAGAAGCTACAGCTGTCCATTCATTCAGAAAGAAGCATTTCTTACTGTCTTCCAGACTGCTCTGTTAGGATGCAGATCTTTGGAAATGCCTTGGACAGGGGCAGAGTGAAACCTCCCATTTCGGTTTGACTAATAGTGCCATTCTATTTCTGTGCATCCTGATGGCAGCTCCTGCAGATCTTTTTGTTGGAAGAGGATTTTCACTCTTACATTTGTGTCTGGCTGGACAATGATGGTGACAGCATATTTTTAAAAAACCATGTTATTGCCCCTCATTCTTTTTTTTTAATATACCATGTTAAACAATGAAGATGGAATATGTATCCTTTTGTTAAATCTCACTTTTATCCAAGTGTTGTAAATCTGTAAACAAGACAGAATAAACAGCTTCGAATGAAGAAATATTTTAACCATTTCTGGATCTAAAGTTGCTTTCTATGACATTTTGCTTTTTTCTAAAATGCACACACATAGAGCTACTATAAAACCATAATATACTCAATCAGTGAGTTCTAATTTAAACAAGTATACAATCCATAGAAAGTCTTCCAGGAAATTCCTGGCTATCAATCCGTTGATAAACAAATAACATCTATCTAATTTATGTTCCTCATAGAAGGACATATTCAGTGCCTATAAATCAACTAAGCATATGTTAGGCCTTTCTAGGATGTCCTGATATGATCCACAGCTTCATGTTTTATGGGCTGAACTTCAAATGGCATCTGAATTGTTTTGTATTATTTTTCTTCCCTGAACTTGTATGAAGTGAAAGCAAGTTATGAACCTTCTGGGAATGGGGGAGAGAAACAACTATTCATACACATAGATAAGCACAACTCATCTTGGCATAGAGATAACGTTATTTTCAAACTTTTCATTGGGAAAGCTTGCAAATCAAGTCTGGCATTTTGGTAATTAAACTGATCAAGCTTGTTGCACAAAGCTTTTTATTTCATTTGATTGAAGTCAAGTCATGCCTGAAAGACCACATGTTTAGAATCATGTTGGTGATGTAAGTTGAGATGAGAAAATCATAAATCAATTGGAAATAAATCTTGCCTTGGCTCTATTTCTGGGGTGGTTTTTTTTGCCTGACTGCAGGGGGCCAAGAACGCCACTACTCAGGGGTTAAAACAAATTACTTGGCAAAAAGCCTCTCTCTGCTCCTATTTCACTGGCATTTACTTTCATATAAACAAGTGTGGGATTTGGGTCCAAGAAGGAAGAGAGATGGAATGCCATTTTTTTCAATGGCAACATTTTATTTATTATTCCATTTCTACAGTTGTGCATAGCAATCCAATTGACTCTTGCTCCTGGTTGTAATGTTGTCTTATAATAATAATAAAAAATTTCTGGTTCAAAGTTTCTCCTGTTATTTAGGTTTCAGTAATGTAGGAATGAGCCATTTCCACTTATAAAATCTGCTTTGTCCCTGAACTATTGCCTTATCTGAAAGAACTACAGCACAGGGGAATAGGGTCTAAGATCTCAGCCTTTGTCAAAAAGCAGCAGCTATATTTCCAAGTTATTTCCAGGCTCTGTGATTTTCAAGGAGAATACACAAGGACAGCGGAAGACATTTCCATTTAACTTTACAAAATCATAGCAACGCTGAAAATGCATTTCTTGAAGATGTGCCTCTTTTTAATTATTTGAAGTTTAAGGACCAACCATGGGGCCTAGTTTCTTTATTTAGCTATCTCAGGTCCTAAACCTGCACCAAAAACAAAATGCGATCAGATTTTGAAATAGCCTTTCTCAAGTCTGTAGTAGAGCAACTTTCATTTCAGACTTACCGTTGTCTCACCTTAAAGTTTATTATCGATTTTTCCCCTTGTTTACTGCAGCATGTGGGGTGGGAAGAAGAGCAGCACTAAAGATTACATTTGTAGTATAGGAACCTTTTTGAAACCATTCTCTCTTCTTTTGAAACCATTCTCTCTCCCTTTACGGCTGCATGCCTAAGCCTATTTCTCGGCAAATAAATCTCAGTCAAATGTACTGGGCAGAATTACAAGAAAGCTTGTGTGGATGCTTCTCCATAATGCCTAAACGGAGTAAGTGGGTGTATATATTATCTCTTCTTTTCCAGCTATAGCCCACTTTCCCCTCTTTGTACGCAGGATTACCGACCTTCCTAAAGCTGGAAACAGATCTGTATGCATCATCCCTCTACCGATTACTGGTAAGTACAGTAGTCAGATAACAATACAGTAGCTTTAACAACAGCAATAGCAGCAGAGTAATAATTTTGGGGAGGGACTTTGAGTTGATCGCGAACGCCTTTGCTCCCTCTCGGATTGTCCCTGTGATTAAAAGAAAACATCCACTGCTTGTCCTGCCTGCCTGTCTTCTCCCCATCCTTTTCCTCGCCCCCTTTCCTCCATTCTTCCCTTCTTCACCATCGGCGGATGAGCTCGTCGAGCTGGCCAAGGCTGGGTCATGCGATCTATTCTACTCGGCTGAAATCGGCAGCAGCAACCTGCCCGCGCGCCGATTCCTATTTCCCCGCTGTGTTGGGACCCGCGGGGCTAAAAAAAAGGGGCGGAGGGGGGGGGAAGCAGCGACCACCTCCGCGCGCCGAAGGACCCTGGAAGGGTTTTCTGTCTAGCGCGAGGCTTCGTTCCAAAGGGCAGCGCCGCGGAGGAAGGGCTCGGGGCGCTCAGGGGATTCATCCTCCCACACTTGAGAAAATTGCCGCCGGCGTCCTCTTCCCTCATTGGCTTGGAGCAGAGCCGGTAGCTAAGCAACCTCGCTTGGAGAGGGCACCACTAGGCGGGGTCAACGGGGATCGCTGAGCCGAGTTCTGCGCCAGGTTGCAGAGACACCCTGGCAGCGGCTTGACGCGCCTGGCCTCTCTCCTCTGCCTGTCTTCCCGCTTTCCCGCCTCTCCTTTCTCTTGCCTCTCACGCTGCCGTGTGCGAACAAAGGGCCCTGGTAGCCATGTTTTTCTTGTAGTCTTCCCTTAATGCAGAAGTTGCCCGATGCGACCCGTAGCCGCAGCTGCTGAGACACGACCCGGTTGCATCCGCGCCCCTGGATCGAAGGCCCTGGAGGCGGGGGAGAGATGAGAGAAAAATATTTCAGGACGAGAGGCGGCTCCTGTTCTTGCGGGAGCCCGAAATGCTCCCGCAAGAAGAGGCTATAAGTTACAGCAGCCACACTCAAGCAAGGGGCATCCCTCAACATTAGCTCCAGCAGGCTCATCCGGTGCCTCTAGGAATGGAGAATAGGCCTTGTGGAGTATAATGGGAGCTGCTATGCTTTTGTCTGCTGTTCGGAGAGCATTAGTCATTGTACATTTACTTGGGAATTTTTCCTCCTTTTCCTGAGGTTCCCCCCCCCCCAAAAAAAAACAATAGGTCACTGTGTACCATACTAGCTGAAGCAGTTCCCTTTAGTTGAAACAGTAAGATGTAAAGGGTCAGGAAAAGAGTATTGTATCATTTTTAAAAAAACAAAGAATGGCAACTCAAAGCAAGTACTGTAGTTCTGTTGGAAAAAACATCTTTTGTCTTTTATCCATTCAGAGATTCAGCTGAAATATATGAATTTGAGATGACTTATGTCATCCTAAATGCTAGCACTGAATTATAAGTGCATACTAGATCTTGTTTAAAGCAACCAATGTATAACCAAGTCAAAAACACCTTAGTGAAATAGAATAAAATAATGAAATACAGCAATGTCTTTATATAATTAAGCCACTATTCAATCTTTTGCAGCTTTTCTGAAAAATGCTGAACGATATTAGAAATATTACACTGTGTCCAAATGAGGAGATGGTTAGGACTAAAAATAACAAGGACTTACATATTTAATCCATACAGGGAGCCCAAAATCGAGTCTGAAGGAACCATAGCAAATACAATAAATACACTTATATTCAAATGATGGTGAAAATCTGATGAAGTGGACTATAATCCATAAAAAATTATGCCATGCTACATGTGCTAGCCAGTATTGTACAATAAAACTTTGTTGCTTTAGGAAATCACGGCTTGTCCTGTTCTGCAATTGGCAACATTTGAAGGCCAGCAGAATTTCTGCTATCAGACAAGGGCAGCTGCTGCTGCTGTTGGGGACAATGATAGAGAGCAGTGCTAAAGAAAGGCAGAAGGAAGAGGAGAGCTGGAGAAGCATCCGGAGATGAGGCACCCCCTCCCCCTAATTAGGATCTTGTACATTGTAAAGAACTGAGAAAGAGACAGAGAATGATCTCCAAAATGAAGAGGAAGAGGAGATGGGGATGACAAGAGATGCAAGGCTGCCTTTTAAATTTGGAATTGGAATCTTATAACTGGGCATTTTCCAGTGATAATTCTGACCTGAAAGATTTTTCCTGGTTGATATTTCCTTGACCATTTTACTACTGCCACCCAAACATAGCCTGGAAAATGGAAAACATTTTTGAGTGAGATTTCTTCTCTCCAACAGCCAAAAGAGAAATGGCCTTTGAGGAACAGTTTTAAAATAATAATAATAAATAATCAGCAAGTTGTCTCAGAGCTGGGGCAAGAAGGCCTCAAGGCCTCATGGATAAATGGAGATGGAGGAGCAAGATTTCAGAGAGGTTCTATTGTATGTATGTATGCATCATATTTATGTAGCTGCCCATATCACAGATGTAGAATGAGGGAAAGAACTGGGTATTCAAACCCTAGACAAGAGGGGAGATATGCAGACAATATTCCAAAACTTGAAAGAGTAACCTGCAGAGGACGGGGGGGGGGACCTTTCTCCATTGCTTTAGGGAGAATACAGCTGTTAGGTGAAAATGATAGAGAAGCTGATGTCAGCTTAACAATAGAAGAAGCTCTCTGAAAGCACAAGCTGTTCAACACTAGAAAGAACTGATTTATAAGGAAGCAAAGACTCCGCTGCTGAAGATATTTAAGCAGAGACTGGACAACCAGCCATCAAGGATGTTTTAATTGAATTCTATACTGTGGATCCTAACTGGCAGGAGATAAAATAGGTGACCCTCATCCATTTCTGGTTCTATAGTTCTAATGAATTATTTGAATAGTTAATTGCAAATTAAAGATACACTTCTACCCTCTATCAGCAAGCAAGTTCTGTTAGCACAGGGATAATTTAAATTATTCTAAATAATCTTATAATAGAATCATAGGGTTGGAAATAACATCAAAGAATATCTAGTCTAGTCAATCCTTTACTAAAATAAGGCATAATTCTAATCAGAAACTCTAATGAAAGAAATTCCAATTCCTTTCTAGTCATTCTGTTCAACTGCCAAACAGCTTCTACCATTAAGTCCTAGTTAATGTTTAATTTTATTGAAAATTGTACTCATTGGCTCAAGTCCTATCATCCGGAGCAGCAGAAAGCACATTTGTTCCATCAGTTATATGGCAGCTCTTCAGCACTTGAAAATTACTATATTTCAGACTCTTAGTTGTAATTTAGCTTGTAGTAAAGCTAAACAAACCTAACTCTAGCAGTATTCCCTCAGGACTTTGTTTTTAAGGCTTTGACCAACTTTGTTGCTCTCATTGGATCATATTTAATTTTGTGGAAATTCTTATTAAATGGTAAGCAGTCTGGGTCAGATTTTGTCAAAATCCAATAGGCTGGCTCATTTATTTTTAGTGTCTATAGCATACAGTACTTTTGTCGACTACATTAGCCCTAAATACAGAACTTTGGATTTTTTTATGTTTGGGGACTTTAATTTAGTTTATACTTTGTCAAAATCATCTTGAACTTTCTATTTGCCTGGGTAGGAGTGAACAAACTTTTCTGGAGGAAAGAATTAAATTTTTGGAGCAAGGAATTAAATAAACTTTTTTGGAGCATTTTGGAAATTAAATTTCTACCCTCTTCTTTATTTTGCTTCCAGTCACTTTTTGAATGTATCCTCTAGCATGATTCCCAAAGCCAAGAATGTTTCTATCACAAAAGTGTTTAGCAGCAGCTTTCACAGGTTCTCAGGAGAACACATGTCAGGCTTTGGGATAGTATGGCTCTCTGCAAACGTATCATATACAAATATATAAATTTGACGATCCTCTGCTTAGTCCAAATCATTTAAAAAGATAATTTTTAAAGCATTTATTGCAATGATATGATTTTAGGAACACCTAAGGTTACTTATCAGAAACATAAACATAATTATATGAATCGTTCATAAATTTATTAAAACAACATTGGGAAGATGCTCCAGGAAGCCTTTTATTCTTAGTGAAACATTATCTTTTGATTGGGCTTAGGTAGATATTAATGCAAGTATCTTATTCTGTTTATTGATTTTGTTCAACACAAATGTCCATTGATATTTACATTCCATTTTTATTATTACTATATTATTCAAATAATGATTCAATAATTGCATTATTTGAATAACATTTCTGAGACATTACAATATTTAGTCCAGCCTTTCCTTTTAGACAATTTAAGATAACTCCCAGCCATCATAGCATAACAAGAGGCCATCACACAGGGAAAGTTGCTCTTCATAGTGAGGGAACTAATGTTTCTGACTTTAAAAAAGTTATCTCATTGAAATCAGTAGGCTACAAATGGTAAAATAGCTATTTTAAGTACAAATCTGTATATCTAAAATGTGATGGGAACACTAATAGCATCTTGAAAATAGGCCGTTCCACAGGTTGGGGCTTCCTTGTAAAAAATCTGGCTATGAGTTATTGCAGAGCAATGAGTGTTCCCACTATGAGCAAATGCATCATATGGCTCATTCAGTTTGGAGGAGGTGGTCCTTAATATACCTAGGTGCCAAGCCTCATAGGGCTTTGCAGATGTAAATTAACACTTGGAATTGTAGGGAGAAATATGCTGAATCCCAGGACAGTCTCTATAATACAGATGTAATATGTCTCTAACAGCTGTTACCCACTGATTATAGTTTCTGAGTAGTCTACCATGTCAAATGAATTGCTGTGGCAATGATAATGTACTGTCACCAGGACTTCCTGCTTTAAATGATGCAACTGTAACTGATTAGCAAAAGTCCTTCTGGCCAAAATTTCCATCTGGAAATCTAACAACATCAGCAAGACCAGGAGGACACTTACATGATAGATTTCTTTCTCCTGAAGAAATACCACCCCACTCAAGAGTTAAAACCAGAACAACCACATAGCATGATGATTTCTGCTGTGCAGAAGCATCAGTTCCACCTTATTAGGATTGAACTTCAACCTGTTCTGTCCCATTCTGGCTCTAGAGCATCCAGAAGAAGGATCAAGACCCTGAAGAGTTGCACAAGAGGGCTTGAATGGGATGAGCCCTGCCACTGATTGGTACTGTCAATTTAGAAAGGAGTGAAATCAGTATGAAGCATTACCCCAACCACTGACTCTCACAGGTAATCTAGGAGAGAAAATGCCATTGTCAGTGATACAGGACACAAATCTGAGGTCAAATGGGATTAGGAGGGTTGCTCTGTGTGCTCCTGCCATTCAGTCTCAAACAAGGTTGTCTACCAGAACAACCATGCTGTTTCTGTTCTATGTACAAATCATTCAGTTCTGCAGAATGAATACACTTCCTTAAACATATGAGAAAATTCACCATTGAAACCTTCATCTGTGACGTGGTCCTCAGT